CCCAGGTGTGCCCAGGTGTGCCCAGGTGTGTCCCAGGTGTGTTCAGGTGTGCCCAGGTGTGCCCAGGTGTGCTCAGGTGTGTCCCAGGTGTGCCCAGGTGTGCCCAGGTGTGTTCAGGTGTGCCCCCAGGTGTGCCCAGGTGAGCTCAGGTGTGTTCAGGTGTGCCCAGGTGTGTTCAGGTGATCTCAGGTGAGCTCAGGTGTGCTCAGGTGTGTTCAGGTGTGTTCAGGTGTGTTTAGGTGATCTCAGGTGTGCCCAGGTATTCCCAGGTGTGCCCAGGTCAGGTGTGAAGGTCCCCGTGTCCCCGCTGTCCCCAGCGCCACCCCCAATGTCCTCAGTGTCCCCAGTGTCTCCAATCCCCCCAATCCCCCGGTGTCCCCAATGTCCCCAATGTCCCCAATGTCCCAATGTCCCCATTGATGTCCCCAATGTCCCCATTGATGTCCCCAATGTCCCAATGTCCCCATTGATGTCCCCAATGTCCCCATTGATGTCCCCAATGTCCCCACTGATGTCCCCATTGATGTCCCCAATGTCCCCATTGATGTCCCCAATGTCCCCATTGATGTCCCCATTGATGTCCCTGCTGTCCCCAATGTCCCCATTGATGTCCCCAATGTCCCAATGTCCCCATTGAGGTCCCCAATGTCCCCATTGATGTCCCCAATGTCCCCATTGATGTCCCTGGTGTCCCCAATGTCCCCAATGTCCCCATTGATGTCCCCATTGATGTCCCCAATGTCCCCATTGATGTCCCCATTGATGTCCCCAATGTCCCCAGTGTCCCCATTCATGTCCCCAATGTCCCCATTGATGTCCCCAGTGTCCCCATTGATGTCCCCAATGTCCCCATTGATGTCCCCATTGATGTCCCTGCTGTCCCCAATGTCCCCATTGATGTCCCCAGTGTCCCCATTGATGTCCCCAATGTCCCCAATGTCCCCAATGTCCCCATTGGTGTCCCCAATGTCCCAATGTCCCCAATGTCCCCATTGATGTCCCCATTGATGTCCCCAATGTCCCCATTGATGTCCCCGCTGTCCCCATTGATGTCCCCAATGTCCCCATTGATGTCCCCATTGATGTCCCCAATGTCCCCATTGATGTCCCTACTGTCCCCATTGATGTCCCCAATGTCCCCAATGTCCCCAATGTCCCCAATGTCCCCAATGTCCCCAATGTCCCCAATGTCCCCAATGTCCCCGCCGTGCAGGAGCTGGCGGCGCTGACCAAGGAGCTGAACGTGTGCCGGGAGCAGCTCCTGGAGCGCGAGGAGGAGATCGCCGAGCTCAAAGCCGAGCGCAACAACACCCGGGTGAGCGGCCTGGGGACACCGGGACACCGGGGACAGCTGGGACACCGGGACATTGGGGACAGCTGGGACAGCGGGGACATTGGGGACATTGGGGACACTGGGGACACTGGGGACACCGGGACACCGGGACACTGGGGACATTGGGGGGATTGGGGACAGCTGGGGACACCGGGACACCGGGACACCGGGGACATTGGGGACAGCTGGGACACCAGGACATTGGGGACACCGGGACAATGGGGACAGCTGGGGACACTGGGGACATTGGGGACATTGGGGACACCGGGACACCGGGGACACTGGGAACACTGGGGACAGCTGGGACACTGGGGACATTGAGGACACCGGGGACACTGGGGACACCAGGGACACCGGGACAATGGGGACATTGGGGACATCGGGGACATTGGGGACATTGGGGACACTGGGGACATTGGGGACACTGGGGACAGTGGGGACACCTGGGACACCCGGGTGAGCAGGGCACGGCTGGCACAGCTGGGGACAGCTGGACACAAGTCCCCAGTGTCCCCACTTCCCCCCAATGTCCCCTCAATGTCCACAATGTCCCCAACGTCCCCGATGTCCCCAGTGTCCCCTCAATGTCCCCTCCATGTCCCCAGCTGCTGCTGGAGCACCTGGAGCACCTGGTGTCCCCAATGTCCCCTCAATGTCCCCGATGTCCCCAATGTCCCCAATGTCCCAATGTCCCCTCAATGTTCCCAATGTCCCCTCAATGTCCCCAATCCCTCAAATCCCCCCAATGTCCCGAATGTCCCCAATGTCCACAATGTCCCCAGCGTCCCCAATGTCCCCAGTGTCCCCTCAATGTCCCCTCCATGTCCCCAGCTGCTGCTGGAGCACCTGGAGCACCTGGTGTCCCGCCACGAGCGCTCGCTGCGCATGACCGTGGTCAAGCGCCAGGCCCAGTCCCCGGCCGGGGTCTCCTCCGAGGTCGAGGTGCTCAAGGCCCTCAAGTCGCTCTTCGAGCACCACAAGGCCCTGGACGAGAAGGTCTGGGGGGTCCTGG